GAGCAGATTATGGAACCTTTTAAGGAGATAGAGAAAAGAAAGCTGGAGAAGGTGAAGGGACAGAGGTTAAAAGTACAAGCAAAAAATAGAGAGGGGATAGAGAGTTCTAGAGAATTGAGAAGGCTGCAGTCTAGTATTAATTATGACAATTCAAGAAAAGGGAGAACAGAAGGGAGGGAGAGTATTTGAAGATGCTTAATTCATGTTTGGTCGCAACATTTTTGAAATGTGGGGGGTATAAACGACCATAAGAAGAGACTTGTTATTAGGGATTGAATGAATAGATGGAAACTTGATGTGATTTGCCTTTAGGAATCTAAAATGGAATCAATTTCTGATGTGATTATCCGGGGCCTCTAGAATACTAAGGTGACATGTTGGAAAGATCTACCTACTAGTGGAGCATCTGGAGGGATTTTGGTTCTATGAAAGGAGAGGATTTTTTAAATGTGAGGAGGTGCTGTTGAGAGAACACTCTATTTCATGTCTGTTTGAATATAATAAAATGGATGGAACTGAGTGTTCGTTAGTGTCTACAATAGAGGTGAAGGGAGAGAGAAGGGTTCGTGTGGAAAGACTTGGAAGACTGCGAGCAAAAATGGGACTTCTCATGGGTTATGGGAGAAGAATTTCAATATGGTATGGAGAACACTTGTCAAGTGTTTGCATTGAAGAATTTAAGATGACTCTTGACACACTTGAATTATTGGATTTACCTCTTATGGGATGTAAATGGACTTGGTCCTATCAAAAAATTAATCCAACTTATTTGTGAATTAACAAGTTTTTGGTGTCGATTTCCTGCCAACTACAAATAATGGGTCTATGATAAAAACTTTGCAACACCATCTCTGATCATCTTCCTATTTATCTTGTCTCAAATGGGATCAAGTGGGGTCCATACCCATTCAGATTCGAGGATACATGGTTAAAAACTAATGGTCTTTGCGACAAAATCAGTGAATGGTGGAGAGGGGCAACGGTGAATGGTAAGGCCAGCTTTAGAGTGGCTTAGAAGATGAAGGTAATGAAGACTGAAATTAAAAAGTGGAGCAAGGAGGAGGAGAGGGGTGAAGATATGCATACCAATTTTTATGACAAGATATTGAGGTGATTGAAAGGATGAAGGAGGACGGACCACTGAAGAATTGGCTGAAAGGGAATCCATAAAGCTTAAATTGGCAAATAGATTATAAATAAAAGAGATACCAGGGACAAAATTCGAGCGCTAGGTGGATAATGGAGGAGGTTAGAAATACAAAATTCTTTCAATATTATGGCAAGTCATCATAGCAGGATTAATTAGATGGGGCAAGGGGTTGTAGAATTCTGCTGTAGATTATTTCACATTGTGTTTAGTTGGAGGCCCAAGTTGGATCATCTCACCTTTGTGTATTCAAATGAGCAAACTGAGAATTGCTTGAAAGAGAGTTCATTGAGGAGGAGATCCTTGAGGGCCTTGTGCACTTTAGAAGGGATAAACCCCTGGTCTCGATGATTTTAACATGAAATTTCTACCAAAAGTTTAGCATGTAATGAAAAAGGATATTCTTGAGCTGTTTTAAGGAGTCTGACTCGTCAAAGAATTTTAAAAAAGGGTGGAGGAGAGCTGTATAGTGGAAGGAAAAGACTTGAGCTGGGTACAAGAAAGTTGAGGATCGAGAAAGGGAAGTGGATCAATGAGCTCAACCCGTCAAAGAATTTAAAAAGGGCGGAGAAGGGTTGTATGGTGGGAGGAAAAGGCTTTGGATAGAAGGAAGTTGTGGGCCGAGAGAGGAAGAAGGGCTGTAGGGTCTGGGTTTATTTAAAAACACTTTAAATTATTAATTTTTGAATTAGTAAAGCCAATGAAAATTTAAATTTTCATTGGAGTTTACAAAAGAGGTGAAGGGAGAGAGATGTGTTTGCTACAGGATGATTTGGAAGTATGCAATCAGTAGATAGAGGCGAGTTTGATATGGTGCTTCATTGAAGGGAGAGAACAAGGATCATTTTTCTCTAAGCCGTGCGGATGGATTAAAGGATATGGTGGATCAATGTCAACTGTTGGATTTACCGCTGATGGGTGGTAATTGAAGTTGGTCCAATTAGCGGGTTAATTGGCTTGTTCTAGAATTGATAGATTTTTAATCTCAGTCTCTTGTTTAGACTCAAATGGAGAACTTGTGTCAAAAACGTCTGCCAAGAATCATTTTTGATCATTTTCCCCATTGGCTTGTATTTAGATAGAATTATGTGGAGTCTTAGCCCTTTCAGATTCAAAGATAAGTGGTTGAAAGTTGGTGAATTCCGAGATGAGGTCAAAGCATGGGGGTTTGCCACTAATCCAGAGGGTAAGACAAGCTACAGAATTGCACAAAGATTAAAACATGTTAAATCATAAATTAAGAAATGGTGCAAGGAGGACAGGGCCATATATGAAAGGGAGATGAAGACACTTTTCGATGAAAGGGAGATGATCATCAAGGGCATACGAAAACTAGGGAACCGCTTAAGCAGCTGACCTCCATGCAAGAGCTCCTTAAAGTGGTTAAACCTTTCGGTTTCAGCCTCCCCTCCAGCTTTATCCTGAGGATGTTTGCAAATATGAGTGGGAAATTGGACCAGAAACTAACTAGCCCTGTGCCTTACTTGTCCCTCGAATTTCCTTGGAATGATGGTGAATCTATGAAAAATTTATCTGATTCTCCTGCATTCTCGCATTATCTCATTATTTCTGTGCAGTTAAATCTTGAGAACAAGGTCCTTCTGCAAGAAGGGGAAATGTCAGGACCTGGAAATGCAATGGATATAATTTCTGTTATTCTGCTTGGGTTTCTGTAACTACTATAATTGTAGAAAAATATCCAGGACAAGAACAGATGGAATGCCAGCTCAGCTCTCCTCTTTCTCCTATCTTTTCTTCATCTGTTGATCTCTCTTTTCTGCCTCCTCTAACACTAAAATCTCCTCAAAAACTAAATTAAAATCCGTTTCCCTGCTGCTGTTAGACAGCCAAGTTCCTGAGAGACATTAAATGGTAATCCTGCCAGTCCTAGTATAAAGGTCACAGAAAATATATAAGAGAAGATATATGTCTTCTTACATGTATGGGGATTGAGGTTTGTTAGGAGAAGCAATAGTTCACTTCCTCTTTTCAATGATGCATGTGTTTCTTAGTTCAGCCCTATAAACTGCCTGGATTAATGAGATTTCTTGATTAAATTGATCCAACAAGTACATGTCTCATTGTCTAAATAAATTTTTTTTCCAGTTGCTGGATGTTGTTCTCATGAAAATTTCGAACATAATGTAGTTCATGCTTGTTTCACTCTCTCTCTCTCTCTCTCTCTCTCTTTCATTAAAGTTCTAATGTTGTTAATCCTTTTACCGAATTATAGGTGAAGTGCAGTGTGAGCAACCAAATAATTCACTGTACACCTTCACTGGAAATCTTATAATGCAAAAGCAAACATTACCTCTCTCTCCAAACCAGCTTTTATTGAGAGTATGTCACTGAATTTGTTACTTAATTACCGAGGTTTTGTTCTTATCATTATCATTCTTGTAAGAAATTGAGTTGGAATGTGATTCTTACTTACTTGCCATGGCATGTTACAGTTCATTTCTAGTAATACAATCCTTCACCTTTTTGATATATGCAAGGAGCAATTACTTGTTTTGACAACTTATCATTTGTTTCATAAATGGATATGGGAATTTGGATATTCCATTTCCTCTTTGGAACTTATCGGTTAATGTGTTTTTATATGATTTATTCTCTATTGATGAAAATCAAATGGCATCAACTTATTATCTATAACACTGTTTCTCAGGGATGTAGTCTCAGGAACACAGAGTACATTGTTGGGGCTGTAATTTTTTCAGGTCATGAAACAAAGGTTTGTGACAGTGACGCACTCTGTAATAGGAAAGTGCTTTTGTTTCTCTCTCTATTTTTTTAATCAAATTGTTCAACTAACTTCTATTAGGCTGACTGTCTCTTAACTGATTCTTTCTATCACAGTAATAATGGATTTGCCATTGCTTTTTGTTTTGGGAAATCTTACCTCTCACCCCTTCTCATGATCCAAATGCTTGAACTGTTCCAGATTCATGTTTCTCCATAAGATTTTTTCCAGATTTATCCGTACTTCAATGAAAGAAAGTTTCTTAGGAATGTCTAATTTTGTTTGTGTTTTCAACAAAAAAGATTGTTCTTCAGAGTTCTGTTATTTGCTTATCTTTCTTTATTGCTTTATTCTATCTCATAAGATGCTATCTTTTGGTGATTTGGAGCTTTTCAGGTGATGATGAATACTATGAATGCTCCTTCCAAGAGAAGTACC